CCCTGGAAGAAAGTATTGAGATTCGGGCGTAAGGGTAAATTGAGTCCAAGATTTATTGGACCATTTCGTATCTTGAAGAGGGTAGGACCTGTTGCATATCAGCTTGAGTTGCCTTCTTAGCTAAGTCGTATTCATGATGTCTTTCATGTATCAATGTTTAGGAGATACCGTCCAGATCCAGGTCACATTATTCAGGTTGAAGAAGTAGAGCTGAGACCTGATTTGTCATATGAAGAGGAACCCATTCAGATCTTAGAGAGAGATGAACGAGTTCTTCGGAATAGGCGAATTCCAATGGTCAAAGTTCAGTAGAGTAATCGAGGCCCCTCAGAAGCTACTTGGGAGACATTGGAGTCAATGGAGGCTCAGTTTCCTCAACTATTCTCATAAGGTAAATTTCGAGGACGAAATTTCTTGTAGAGGGGGAGAATTGTAACAACCCGACTATTTACAAAATAATATTAATTGAAATTGGAGGTAAATTGTGAAAATGGGTGAAATTAAGTGACTAAAGTATAATTTATGAAAACTTGTATGCCATTTTCAAAGTAAAGGAAATTCAGGGACCAAGCCCTGAATTTCCCCTAAAAGTGTCGGCAGGTTTGGTTATAACTAACGTGTTTTCTGATTTCAATCAGAAAACACAAAAGCTTTTCTTAAATTTTCACTCCTCCCGCACCTCGACTTTCAAGTCCGATTCCGACGCCGTTCGACATCCGATCGTCAAATTGAAACCACCATCGTGTTCGTTATCGAGTCAGAAACAATCCCCCTTAAATTAATTGAAGCGAAAAGCTGCTAAACGTCGGGAATTTCAAGTCAAAGCATCGACGTTTTTTTAGCTCTATCGCCGAGAAAATCTCAAATTCACCGCCGATCGTTACTCAGTTTACGACACCTCCTGCACCATCGTGTTCCTTGTGTCGTTTCGAGTTCACCGGTGTCAACCTTGTCCGCCGTAGACGGCGGCACGTGAGGAGGTGGTGCAGTCAAAGATTCGGCCGATTTGAAATCGAGTTCTCCGCCATTCAAAAATTTGAACCGATCGTTGTAAGTATCTCGAAATCGCTCAAAATAATTTTTAGAAAATTTTTCGGGATTTTTAGGGCCCCGGAGGACGCCTCACGCGCCACACGCGCCGTAGGGCGAGTGGCTGCTGGAAACCGGTTCTGACCGGTTTGATCGGTTTCGACCGGTTTGACCGGTCTGAACCGATCTGACCCGACCGACCGACCCGACCCGACCGTTGACCCGACCTGACCTGACCGTTGACCGTTGACCGTTGACTTTCTTTGACCAAAACTTAAAATGGCTTTGATCGAGCATTTAAACGACCGTTAATCTTTTCCGAGTATACCTATCCTGATAGTTTTCGACATGCCGAATCCGTTTCCGCTGTCCGTTTTGTCAAATTCGAAACGGAAGGACTCCAAATCGACGGTCAAAGTAGTTGACTTTGACTTTGACCAAGAATCTGAATTTTCGAAAAGTCATACTTTATGTTTTTAAACGTCTTGATTCCGATTCCGCAATTCGTTTGGCCAAATTCAGACTCAAAATACCCCAAATTGATAGTCAAACCCGAAAAATGCTTATATACTTAAGAAGTCTAGTTTTGAACAATTAAATAGGATTTGGGACTGATAGATTATTATTGTTTGAAGGTACAAGAGACTCTCCGGATCGTTCGACAACTCGACCCAGCTCTTCTAGATCAGTTAAACCACGTGTGCCATTATTCACGCGTTCGAAAACTGTAGCAGAGCGTGGTGAAACCAGCAATCAGTAGATTTGCTATTTGAACCTATTGTCGAGGTGTGTTCCTTACTTATTACTGAACTGTTTTATTGGTTTTAATATGTGGTACACCGAATTCATTGGTTATTGTTTTATGGATGCACCAATTTAATGTGACAATTTATGGAATATGGCTGCTATCTAATTTTTGTTTTGAAATGGTATATGATTACCATGTTTTTGGATTTATGGAATTTATGTCACGGTGCAATTGAATTTTGGAATTGAATTACGATGGAATAGCTCTGATCAAGCTAAATGGGCCTAATGTGACTCTTGAGGGCACCAAGATGTTTCATTAGGTCGGTTTTCCTTTGCTGTGTGCTTTGGGTAAGCTATATGGACTTATTGACTTGGGCTTAAGGATACAAGCTTCAGAGCCTATCCTTAAGTCGGCTTTCTTTTTGCTATGTGCATAAAGTAAGCTATATGGAAAATAATTTTAGGAACTACTGATGGTGTACCAGAAAAGGGTTTAAATTATGATTTTCAAAAGTTAAACTCTTTTACGAATTTGTGAGATTACTGGACTATGATTTGTACCTATTGACATTTTATGGAAATGTTGGGACACACTGAGTCTAGCTCACCTTTTGAAAATGTTTTCCCCCTTTCAGATACTGTTGGTTAGATACCTCGGTTCGAGCACTTGGAGGATCAACATATCTCTTGAAGTAAATCAGATTGTAATGTTTTTATCTTGCAAGTTGACTTTATTTTGGTGACATGGACCTTATTTTAAATATCGGATTTTATAATGATGACTCTTTTGCTATTACTGCTCGGTTTATTGTGATTTTGAATTTGAAGACATGTTTTAAATTAAATTATTATTTATTGGTACTATATTTACGAGTTGGATTTTGATAGTATAATTTGTTTATAATTTCATGTTATTTATAATGTGATTTTATATTGATAGAATAACGATTTCGGAAAATGTCTTTAATAATCATAATGTGATCCACTAGACTTAGTCGAAACGCATAGGCCGGGTCTAGGGGGTTACACTCATGACTGATTTCGTGCGTTCGAAGCTTGGTTCTACCCCTCTTATATTTGGCACAATATTTGGAGTGTTAGGGGCCTTCTTGAGAAATGACTGCAATGGTAGGTCGGGAACGGGATTTCTATTTCAGTCTAAAATGTTTTTTTGGTTACCAAACAACCTTCACAGTCTTGTTAATTTTGACTGTGATGATGATGTTTTATTAGTTTTCGGTGTCATTGATGAAAGCATGAGATCGTGAAAATTTAATTTGGTTAATGGTTTTTTTCTCATGAGGAAGTGAATCAAATTTTAAGTATTTTGTTATCCAGATTTCCTCATGAAGACACATGGGTCTGGAGTGGTGAAAAAGGAGGGTTTGTTTAGTGTTCGGAGTGGATATCGTTTACTTACTATTTGAGACAATCTGATTTAGTTTGCTAATAGAGTCTATAGTAAGGTGTGGTCTTGTGCATGTCAAAGAAAGATTAAGTTGCAAATCTAGAAGTTCATTCATGATTTTATTCCAACTATGAAAAATTTATTCACTCGACGAATATCAAACAATCCATTTTGCTGGAGGTGTGAGGATGTGGTTGAGTCGGAGGTGTATGTGGCTAGGGATTATGGCATGAATAAGGAGGTTTGGGGTAAGTTAGGTTGTCAATGACCAACTCAAGTCTCTCTGTTAGATTTTTGAAGTTGATTAGATTGGTTAATCAATAACAATACAGTGAGTAATCATTCAAAAATTCTAACCACAATTTGGATGTTACGGTTTGCAAGAAATCGACAGTATCATCAATGTAATCAGATGAGGAATGAAGAATTGGTTACCTCGATTCGAGCCTGCCTCTTTAACTATTCCCGAGCAACTGAGAGAATTATTGGGCCTCCTTCCACGGCTCATATTTGATGGAAACCCCTCCTGGAACCACTATCAAAATCAATTTGGATGCCCAATATCTACAAAGTCAAGCAATTGCGTGGTTGGGGGTCATTGCGAGGAATAATGATGGACTACTAATGGGAGCTTACAGATGTTTGTAGTGAGGACATTACCTCGACATCTATGGCGGAGGCAATACACACGGTGGACATGGGGTTTTTGAATGTGATTGTTGAAGGCGATTCTAGGATGATTATTAGAAAACTAACTTCAACGGGCTTGGATCGTCTGGAAATAAGCTCTTACACTTGGAAAGCTTCCAAAGATCTACGTCGTTTCATGCATGTCGTTTTTCATTCACTCCCATGGCAGGAAATGTTAAGTTCATCTTCTAGCTTCCCAATCGGATTTGGGTTCCATCGACAGATACTGGGTGGAAGAAGCTCCTTCGGCAGTGGAACTTCAAGCAGCTGAAGACAGACGGTGGCTCGATCCTCCTTGAAGCTTCAGTGGTTGAGATGGTTCGTGGATCTTCAGGTTCCATTTTCTGTTCACAACTTCCTTGTTGGAGCGTTCATCGAAGACTTGTAGAGAACAAGGAAAGAGAAGGCTAACTTTGTCTTTTGGATTTCTTTTGTTTCTATTTCTTTTTTGTTGTTTTAGCTTTTTGTGGTGTGTGTTTTTATAGTTGTTTTCCTTAACCTTTTGTTTTTCGGGGGTTATACTTTGTGTTCTTTTTTTTTTAGTTTAATTAATGGGCTGACATTCATTGATTAAAAAAAATGAAATAATTTAAAATTTTTGTTCATTCAATTATATGATGATACTATTAAAGATTAATAATAATTTTCTAAGGCAATTGAACTTTACTCATTGTGTTCACTACAACAAAGTAGATCTTTAACTGCAGTTTTAGCGGCGTTTTAAAAATAAACGCTACTAATTTTTGTACATAACATGGCGTTTATGGGGAAAATGCCACAAAATAACAACATTAGTGGTGTTTTAAATAAACGCCGCTATATCTCGTACTTTAGTGGCAGTTTTGAAGAGAACTCTGCAATTTCACGTTACATTAGAGGTGTTTTGTAAAATCGCCACAATTTCATGTTATATTAGTGGCGTTTTTTAAAGAAAATGCCGCAATTTCACATAACATTAGTGGCATTTTTGAAGAAAACACGCAATTTCACGTTACATTAGCGGGGTTCGTTTAGGAAACGCCGCAGGTGTTCAAAACTTTTAACCTAATAGGTTCCAAATCCCATCCCTTTTTGTTTTGCCCTATTTTACTTCAAGTACCAATCTTCTTCACACTCCCTTCGTGCTCTCCCCCCTATTTTACTTCCCCTCCCATCCCTTGTTTTTCCTCCTTCAACACCACTCTCTAATGGCTTCCCTTGCTGGTTCTTCAATCTCCATGCAACCTCGCCATTCCCTCGTATTTCCTCTCTTTTATCTGTTTCCTTCTTCGGATTCAATTCCTCTTGTAGTCGATCTTGCTTCTATTTTGCCTTTTTTTTTAATCGTTTTCTAACCGTCCAGAATGAGGATTTAGAATTGATTTTGTTAGTTATACTCTTTCATTGCTGATTTTAAGTTTCGGTAATCTGAGATTTGAATTTTATTTTCGGATTTAAAGAGGTAAATGCTAAAATTGTTATTGTTTGAAGAACAAAATGCGTGGCCCGACTTTTATATCCCACAAGTATGTTGAAATTTTTTATCAATTATTATTTTTCTTAACTACTTTTTAGAGGTGAAGAGCAAGTAGATAATGTTTTAATATTCTTTTTCCTTTTCGTGTGAATTTAACTGAATTTACTTATAAAATACTCAATTTTTGGAGAGATCAAGATGTTAGACTCAAAGTTGGATATGAAGTGCTGGTGAAGGTAATACCATTTTAGAATGCCTTTTGCAAGATCTATTCCTAACTGAATATTTCCATGTATGATATGGTGTTTATCATGTATGTTTTTAGTGATTAGTTTCTTTATCTTGATCCACAAAACATAAAGTCCATTCATGCAATTAATCTTATAAATGCTTATTGTTTTCTTTACAATTTGTTGCAGCCGATGGCTTATATCCCAAACATAACAAACTACACGCAGCTCTGGTGGGACAGAAGCTGTTCATTTGGCATCTGGTCGAACTGTATGCAATGTAAATTGCCACTAGAAGAACGTTTTTTATTTTATTTTATTCAACAATATTTTTTTTAATTGAAAGAGAGAACATACACAAAATTTTAGTGAACAATGTTGAACTATTTTACATTTCTTTTTAATTTTATAAATTTTGATTTATTTGTCTACATAATATGTATCGTAATTATATTTTAAGTTTATTTATTAGATAATACTACATGATACTAAATTTGGATAAAATAAAGTAGAAAATGTTATATACGAAATCAGTTAACCAAGCGGCGTTTGTGCCACCATAAGTCATGTTCTTTTGCGGCGTTTAACAAAATAAACACCATAAAAGACAAGGTAATTAGCGGCGTTTATAAGAAAAATGCAGCTATAAAGCTTAACCATTCACGGCGTTTGTAAAAATGCCGCTATAGAGTTTGACCTTTCGCAATGTTTGTAAGAAAAATGCCGTTATAGAGCTTGACCTTTTACGGCGTTTTGTCTTCACAAACGTCGCTAACTGTTACGATGCTTATCGGTGTTTCTTGGCGATATTTTTACTTGCTTCGGGTATGTTTTTAGTGGCGCTTAAAAACGCCGCTATAACACCGCAAAAACATGTTTTGCTGTTAGACGCGTCATACCACTAAAAAATTCACTACTTAATTTTTAATTGATATTATATACATATACACACCATGTTCATGAGTTATAAACACCAAAAAAATTTTGATCCTAGTTTAATGTTTTATATATAATTTAAAGAATTTTATTGAATAATCTCAAATAGTTATAAGATAATATTTATTAGGAATGTATTCATATTTTATGACACAATTATTCGAACTTATGATCTTTAAAAAACAATACTTCCTTTTATTACCAGTATCTCAATGGGTTAAATGAATTATTGTTATTCTTAAATGTACACGTTCAAGCACTAAAAACTGTAAAACAATGTTTATTATCAAATGATTAAGAGTATTTAGAACATATATAATAAATATTTGAAACTTATAAGTGGACTGAAATGTACAGAAATTGAGGGCCATCATTAATTCCCCCCCCCCCCACAACCAAAAGAAACAAAGATGTATGAATCATTGAAACCAAGTATGAGATATTAGGTGCGCAAAGCAAGGGAGTTGAAGGGTTAAGATCGAGATGATGGTAAATTGAGAGAGCATGAAAATGAAAGCAGTTAGGTGAGGGGGGAAATTAAGGAGGAAGACAAGTTGGGATGTGTACGTGAAAACCTCCAAATTTCAACTGCCATTCGTATCGTTGGACGCATTTAATGCTAGATAATGAAAGCATCCCCCTCTACGATTATTACACGAGAAACTAATGACTGCTTTTTTAATCCAAACCAGGCAAATCTCAACCTTTAAAAATAAAAGATCTCAATGATGGTCGACAAAATATAAAAAAGTTTTAATATATTAAAAAATTATCATTTTTAACCGTCTAGACGATTACAATGTAATATCTGTTTAAAAGTTTCTTAACTAATTGATAATGCATGCACACTTTACATAGATAATCATTCGAACTCAAAATTTTTAAAAATAATAATATTTTCTTTTACCATTAGTGATACAATTTCATACTTCTCAATAATTTATAATTCAATCTCGACTTTGAAGCATAAGTGTGAGTATATTTTTATTATTATACAAAATTTGTTTATTTATATTATAGTATAAACAATTGCTGTTATAATTCAATTAGATATCAATTTAATTAAAACAATATTAAAGTATTTTTATTATGAATAATGATTATTAATAGTATAATAATATTTTCTAATTAATCTAAAGTGATTACAAATAATATTTGTTGTAAAGATTTTCAACCATTTGATAATGAAGGCTCAACACTTTTACAGTTTATGGTACTCGAACCTAAAATCTCTAGGGATAAAAATTATCCCTTTAACCATCGAGATAACATAATTAGTACAATATAATAATATTTATTTTTAATTTTTATAAATATTTTAAATAAAACAACTAAAAAACAATTTTCGAGAATCAAACACAAATGAATTTCTATAAAATTCGCTCACCATTAGCCCATAATCGTTTAACCTGGTACGAATGCACTTGGCTACTTAAGGGTCAAGTGTATACCCATTATTTTATATATGTGATTAAATATAGTTTAATATAACAAGGAAAGAAGAAAAACTAAAAAAAATTACATATTTATTTTATTGAAAAATAATGATTAAAATTTGTGGACCCTTATTTTTAAATTTTTGGATCCTTATTTTATTGAAAAATTACATATTTTATTTTATATATTTTTAATATAAATTTGTGGACCCTTATTTTATTGAAAAATTACATATTTTATTTTATATATTTTTACTCGTAAGTATGAAAAAAAATCTAATTATGTATTTTATTTTATTTTATTTCTTTAATATAACCGACTGATATAATTATAATAAATCTTTATTATTTTGGATGTGATAACAACTCATAAACTCCTCTAAACCTTAATTTTGTAGGTCTTATATAACATTATCTACCCCTTTAGATTATAATAATGATATCAATCGAAATAAAATTCAATATTAAATTCAATTATTTATCCGAAGCAAGAATTCGAATCCTTTCTCTCGAGTTATTTTAAAATAATAATAAGATGTGATATTTATTTTATCCTTTTACTATAGTAAAACTTTTAAGGGTAAAATACACGAATGATTTCTCGGGAATAAGGTGATACGTTGTTGAACCTCAAAACTATTAAAAAAATATAAAATGATCCTTTAACTATTAAAAATTACAAAATGATCACTCGATTACTCACATATTATAACTCATCTATTTCCATTAAAAAATTATGGTAGTATGAGATAGACTTTAACATGTTGGCCATATTATAATAAAATATGATCTCATAATTGTTTAAATTGTATTTTGTTGATAGATTCTCTATCTATATTATACCATTAAATCGATGCTTAAAATATTATACCATCAAACTAATTCTTAAAAATAATGATAGTATTTATTACTATCGTTAAAATATAATTTTATCACGTAATTATAAGTAGGATAATGTCCAAAGTCTAAAGGAAAGATGAACCCAACCCGTTTTTTGATGATGATGTTGAAAATAGGTTAAAAGTCCAAAGTCCAACCTTATCAACAAAATCCACTTGGTTAGCCGTGCACCACATAATTCCATCCCCTGCCAGCTAGGCAGTCCAGTCAGAAGCCAACCCACCACGCTAGTTGCCGTCCCTATCCACAAACTACAAATCCCTTCATCAATACCATAAATAGGATAAAGCCTACTACGTACAACTACAATTCTCACTTCCTTTCGTTTTCCTTCTTCATCGCAACTATCCAATAATGGCTTCCCTTGCTGGTTCTTCAATCTCCATGCACCCTCGCCATCCCTGGTATTTCCTCTCTTCTCTCTTTTCTTTCTTCGCATCTTTTTATTTACTACATTTTATTCATTTCTTTTAATTTTTTTGTTAGATTTGTTCTATATCTGCTTGTTCTTTTACTCTATCTTGCTTTCTGTTTTTTTTAACCTTTTGTAGCGTTTGTTTACTGTCCAAAATGAGAATATATATTGATTCTGTTAGTTCCAACTGTCGTTAGTTCTGGTAATCTGTGATTTGAATTCTTATTTTCAGATGTAAAGAATTATATGATGAAATTAGTATTATTTGGAGAACAAAATGCATGACTCGACTTTTATATCGTACAATCATGTTGAAATTGGTGTGCATTATAGTTCTTTTATTCATTTTTAATCAATTATGATTTTGTTTTTTAGTAATTTTTTAGGGAAATATAACAAGTGGATAATGTTTTGATTTTCTTCTTTTTTATGTGAATTACTGACTGACCTTCATTCTCTTGAACACATTTTAACAGGCTACAAGCAGGGTTCCTGGATTGAAATTGGTTTCATTTATGGACCAGGGAAGAAGCAGCCTCGCCTTCAGGTTGCGCCCAATGCCTGCTCGCTTGCGGATTTCCTGTGCTGTATGTTCATCGTTGAATGAAATGATAGTTCTATGTCTTTTACCTATTTATGAGTTACGTGTCTATTCAACCAATACTAAGGAAATAACATGTGGAATATTCAATTAAATAGAAATGTGCAAAGATATAAATCTACTTGTGGACTGTCTTCTGAACATGTTTTTCTTCTCTTTGATAATTCTCATATGGGGTTGTTGGAAATATGGTTAGCTGTTTATGCTATTCTTCCTCAACTTCAAAGAGTGTAAGGAATGGTTAGCAATTCACTTGCCTCTGGTATCTGCATATATGTTATATTTTTGTGCTTTGCGTGAAGTCCTTTGTGCTGCACATGCGGGGTTTGTTATAAATATGCCTATTATATTCTGGTCATTTATGTAAAAAGTGAGTGTTGTGCTCTTTGTGAATAACATGATGTTGATGATCGAGTTAAATTTCATTCGGCAGGCCAAACCAGAGACAGTGGATAAGGTATGTGAAATTGTAAGGAAACAACTAGCTCTGCCAAGTGACAAACCAGTCACTTGTGATTCAAAATTCGCTGAGCTTGGAGCCGATTCTCTTGATACGGTACTCTGAACCGTCTGTAACCATCTGGAGTTTTCGAATGTTTGGTTTTTTGTTCATTTTTACTACTATTTCGGGTAGGATAGGGTCCTTGGGATCATCCCTTTTCCCTGAGCAATCTTAATTTTCTTTATGAAGATTGGCATAGGCAGTTCTATGTGATGCATTTGTTTTCAGGTTGAGATCGTGATGGGGCTTGAGGAAGAGTTTGGAATCACTGTGGAAGAGGACAATGCCCAAAATATAGCGACTGTTCTGGATGCTGCCGAGCTCATCGATAAACTCTGCAGCGAAAAAAGTGCCTAGAAATTAACCAAGAACCAAGTTGGGAGGTACATTGGCCATTATTTTCCCATATTGATGTCACCTAGACCATTTGTCAATCATGTTGTGAACTCATCAAGTCTATTTATTTGTTCAAATCCAGTTAAGCTCTTAAGTTGTTGGCATTTTTAGTTAAATTGAGGATTTCACTTTTTGTGTTGTATGCCAAGAAAATACTATTTGAGCGTTTTGTTTCCGCAAGCTGCTAGCTTATGTAGTTGTAACGAGTAATGTAGACCTTAGCCGAGGGTCAGTTGATTTGAGTCTTTGAAAATGTTTACATGTCCATGTCCTATATCCAATATTCCCAACTCATTTTTGGCCCATGGTTTAAATCCATCCATGAAACAGAAGAAGCCATTTTCTTCAGTTAAGTTCTTAGGAGTATGAGTTCGGTGAACTAATGGGCATACTCATTTAGTGAGCGAACATGTTTCGAGTAAAATTGCTCCTTAAACTCGATTTGGAACTCTCTTCATATTCCAGTGGTAGTTCTCACACGCTTCTTGTAGGAGCATCTATGTTGCCACCACGAAAGAGCGACATTAGTTGAATAAACGCAAATACTCTTCACCTTTTTGGTATCCTTCGCGACGCTCATGGCTTGGAAGTATTGTCTCATTCCCCAAAGAAAATTCTCCGTGTCTTGCGCCGACCTTGCCCCCTTGAACTGTAACACCCTAAATTCGGGCGCTATTAGATGGGCCAAGCACTAAATTTAAAATATTTTTCTATTTCAATCTCAAATCACAATATGAGTTAAATAAAATAGACATCCATAATTATTATAAAAATCAATACAAATACAAAGTTCCATGGCAATTTAATTTAAATCAAAATAATACAAAACCTATAAAGTTTATAGACCAAATATATAAATAAGAGTTTTATGAATACACAGGTTCACTAAAAGTAAATAGTACTGTAATTGGATACGACGGCGTTTAAATCCTGCTACGACGATACTCCTTGAACAAGCACAAGCAATTAGTCTGCGAATAAAAAAAATCCAAACGTTAAGCTTTATAAAGCTCAGTGGTACACTTCTATCTTGTTATACGGTAAATTATGCGTTTAATACCTAAACTATCAGTTTTTATTCGTTTTAATACCTAAACCGTTCGAGCATTGGTTTATTACACCGCCGACAGCATTGTGTTCCTTGCGTTGAGAGGAGTAGGTCGGTGGTCGAGTTACCGTCGAAAGTCGTGGCATGAATGCGGGTGAGCGAAAACAAGTTTCGATTGGGGTAAAAAGCTCTCCTCCGCCGTTCATCATCACAAAGTAACACCGGTAAGCAACTCCCTAGCCCTTAAAATACAAATTTGAAGAAAAAAAAGGTAGTCGTCCGATCGCCGTAGGACACCGCACGTGTCGCCACTCGTGCATGGGCTTTGTCCGCAACCTGGGGAGTTTCTAGAATTGGTCTGGACAAGTCTAGACCGCCTGAACCGGTCCAAATCGCCCGAACTGAGTGAGTCGAGTCGACCGCCGAGCTGAGTCGATTTTGCATCGAGTCGCCTTGACCGACGTTGACTTTTTTCAGGACCACATATCCTAATGTTTTTCGATGTTCTGAGTCCGTTTTTGAGGTATGTTACGCCAAGTTTAAACTCGATAAGATATTTTTCAACATTTTATCTTCCGATTCGATCCATTTTTCCTTTTTAAGATCCATTTTTGATGTAAATTATATTATTATATATCCGAGATATTATGGGAAGTCGAAATCAAGTGTGAGGGAGATAGAATGGAGTTTAATTGGTCGGTCGATCGATTTTCATAGGATGTATGTTCAGTACATGCCCCTAGATTATAATCGTACTTCTCTAAGCTGAAACTCCAAGGTCGAGCCCCTATGTAATAAGCTAACTTAAGTATTATGTCCGTTAGGGCTTGACCTGTGCATAAAATGAATCACAAATAAAATGAGGAACACAAGAAAATGAAAAACCTAAAGATTTGACGTTTGGGATTTTTAGGATTTTGTTTTGTAATTTTGAAGGGTTCGAATTTGAGTAAAATTTGTTTTTGTTGATCGCACTGAGTCGAATCACGAAATCAGGTTGCTGACTGGTAAAATATAGTGTTGGGCATGGGACCCGAACCCGACGGGTTCCGACCCGACTTAGTTTTTTTAAACAAAATTTGGGTTCGGATCGGTTTTTTAAAATTTGATGTTCGGGTTGGGTCGGATTCGGGTTTAGGGTGAAAAATACCCGACCCGAACAAAAAAATATATAATTTTACCTTATATTTAGGAATAATTACAATAATACCCTCTATATATTATTTTTTTCAATTAAATCGATGTTTTTATTGAATAAAAATAATATTTTATTATTATTTTGGGTCGATCGGGTCGGATTTTATATAAAAAAAGTCGGGTTAGGTGAAGGGTATATATTTTTCGGGTCGGGTGAATGATATAAAATTTTCGGGTCGGATTGGGTTGGCCCAAACCCGACCCATGCTCATCCCTAGTAAAATACAAACAACTATTAGTTAGATTCAATGTTATTAAAACCGGACCGGGACCGGCCAGTTCGACCGGTTAAACCGTGAACCGATAGCCTGTTCGGTCCGGTTAACTCCCAAAACCGGATGAGCACAGAATCGGTAATGAACCGGAAGAACCAGTTGAGAACCGGCAAAACCGAGGTGAACCAGCTGAAAACCGGTGTGAACCGCCAGTTCTCTTTTTTTCTTTAAAAAAAATTAAACCAAATGACGTCATTTGTTAAACGAGCCGAGTCGAACTCGAGTACTGCTGAGCTCGACTTGAACTCGAAAACTTTAAAACTAAGCTCAACTCGACTAAAAAACTCACGAGCTAAAAATTATCAAGTTCAACTCGAACTCGAAATATATTATTGAAAATTGAACTCGAAAAGGCTCGAACTCAAAAAAAATTTAGAAGCTAGATTGAAGCCTGAAATTCGAGCTCAATTAAAGCAAAATAATAGTTCGCTCTATGCTCACTAAAAGGCTCCATAATTTGAATTTCAAATTACCTCTAGTATTTATAGAAGTCAGTTGGGATGTTTTTCTATGTTTCTTAGCCATGTGAGATTGTTTTGTTCTCATATTTTTACTCTTTAGACTTTTGGGATACTCTTCTATGTTTTTTAGCCATGTGGGATTGTTTTTTAAAAACAAATTAAATCAAACGACATCGTTTGTTATGATTTTTTTCAGCCCCAAATTTATTTTTTGATTATAGTTATATAATTATATTTATTATTTAATATGTTTTACCTTAAATATTATGTTGTAGTTGATTTTAATCATTTTGTTTCACTTGATTTTATGTTTTTTTTAACTTATATATGTTATGACTTGTGATAATTTTATATCTTTTAATATTGTAAACTTAAAAAAAATGTTATATATATATATCAATATTGTTTTGAATTTTATGTCAAACTTAAAAAAATATATTATTTTATATAAAATCCGGTTGAACCGCGGTTGAACCAGTGAACCAGTACCTTCACCGGTTCAAGGTCCGGTCCGATTTTAAAAACATTGGTTAGATTACAATTTAATCAATTAAAATATTATTATCATTAAAAATAAACAAAAGTCTAACATGACCTCGTATAATAGTAGTTTTAGTCACTAAACTTATATATTCTATTAATCCAATTCTAATTTAAAATAATTTATTCATATTTAAAAATTCTATTAATTCAATCTTTTTCACGATATTATTAAACCAAACAAGTCTATCCGATCAAATAAACAGTTAGATAGCTACATTCTACCATAAATTAACAATACGTTAATCTTCCATCAATACACATTATCCAATTATAAGATGAGAAGAAGGATGATTGATGCCATTCGTTTCTAGCGATGGCAATGAAGTGGAATGGTATTTACTTTACAACTACATTTAGCATGAGGCTAAGGTACATAAATAGTGGGATGGATATTATTTTTTAGTCTCTTAACTATTAAAAATTACAAAATGATTATCTGACTGTTCATATATTCTAAATTCGTCATTTTTGTTTAAAAAAATTAGCGGTGAATCTATTAACTGTGATATAATAAAAGCGTCCTACAGTCAGAGATCATTTGTCTACTATACCCTGAGCACAATGCAAATGCGTAAGGCATTTCTTTTACTAATCAATTGAAACATCAATTCAAGTTGTAAAAGGAGAGGCGTTCTCAATGTAAACCTAGTGAAGTACAGAATCATTTTCCTTTTTCCCCTTGCATGAAAAATCACATTGGCTTGGATGCGTTACACATTCCTGGATTCCTAATGCACCACAGTGGTTGGATTGGCTCAGCCTTCACCCCTCTGCTTACCATCCTATACCTCCACTCGTTCAACCTCTCAGTTGCCTCGGCAGACCTCTTTCTCCCGGCCTCATCGCGGTTCCCCGACCACAATGTCTCTGCCATTGCCGATGTCCTTGGCCATAACCTTCCGTCCAAAACCATAGGATCGGTTTGTTCCGACCACAATGCCACCTCTCCACCTAGCACCAACCTGGCTTCTTCTTCACTCAAACCAAAGGCAATGTCATAGTTATAAATAGTTTGCCATGCTTTAAATGGATCACACCAAGACTTTCCATCTTTCGGGTCGCGACCTGTTGTTTGGGGATCATATAGGCTATCATTCCCCAGAAAATCTCCGTGGCCACAGTCCAAAAAATAGAATTCCGAAGACGATACGATCGTCTGATACCCGGCTTGGACAATCTTTTTGGTGTTGTTCGAGCCGTTGTTCCATGTTTGTAAGATGGTATGCTCCCTTGGAAGAAATGAGGAGTCCACTTTCACAACATCATCTAATAGAACATCCTCCCAATAGACCACGGTACGATTGAGGGATATAATGTAAGGCAAAGTAGAGTTGATAAATTTTTCAAGGAGCTGGCTGAGGGTTCCACCATTTGAAAGGAAAGATTGAATGGTTGGATCAGCTTTCCAGCATCCAGGAACTATCTCATCCGCTCCACCATGGTACAATGTTTCGGGGAACAAATTGGTTACATCGCGAATTACGTTCTCAAGAACTTTGTAGGTTTTCTGGTTCAAGGGGTTTAGCTGGCCGGTTCCCGGCTCGTCTGCTAGTCGGTCGGCCATGTCATTTCCCGGCAACCAGAACATGTTTGCACAGGCAACTATTTCCGGATAGGCTTCTGCCCATGATCCTGTATGCCCTGCAATTGCAAAGTAAAATGAAATTCATCATCTAATTTCTTTTGTCTTGCACTGTAATAAAAAGTTTACCAGGTGAGTCAATCTCTGGTAGGATCCTGACCCCATGTTCCAAGCCAAACTGAACAATCTTAACCACATCCGAGGGAGAATATATCATGTTAGGACCATAGGATCCCTTGGCAGCGAGCTCCGGCTCCGAAGGCACCATTAGAGGAAACGATTGCGAATCGGTAACATGCCAATGGAATACATTAAGCTTGTTAGCACTCATTGCCTCAATAGTCCTTAATATGTCTTCCACCTCATAATAATTCCTTGATGTATCCAACATGAGTCCCCTGTGTGCAAACAAGGGAGCATCCCATATATTCAAGCCGACGGGGATAGCCAAAGGATTGCCCCATACCAACTGCGAAAACGTCTCCAAACCCCTCATTGCGCCCCATGCCGTCTCGGCTGTCAAATAGGCTGTTTCTCCTACTTCGGAAATGGAGAGGGAGTAGGTCTCAATGACCCCGTGCTGGAGGGGCGCAACGAGATCGGTTATATCAATTGAAAGAGTTTGCAAAGGAGGGACCGAGGCGGAAACATTGACGGAAGGTGGGATGAGGGGATGGTAGTGCTCGGTCCGGACGAGGCCAAGGTAGCGGGTGACGGCCGTTGCAAGGTGTTGATGGTAAGGAGAATCAATGGTGAAGTTTGAAGAAAGGAATCGGGCTAGTGGTTTTGGCCATGAAACCAGCCTTGGTTTAGGCCAAACATTGACCGCAGTTTTCTGGGACAAGGTAGGGAGTGGAAAAATCAATGTTAGGCAGATTATGATGGCAAATTTTGAGCTACAAATTCTCATTTCAATTGCTTTTTTTTTATAAAAAAAAAACCTTGGTGGTTGAGAATTGCAAATTTTGCTTGCAAATCTGTCTTCTTTATAACTCTGTTACTTCGTTTTCTTGCCATTTGGAGTTTTGTATTTTACTTGTCTGATGCCAAAGACTTTCACTTTTCTATTGTCTTTGTGTGATATGGCAAAGCAGCAGTAAATACATTTTGGTAAGCTCTGGTCATTATCAAGCAAACTAATCGTCCAAGCTCACTGATTTTGAAATCAGGGAAAACCCACTTGTAATGCTTCAATTTTGTTGTATTCACTGAAAATTTAAGGCATGAACTAATCCTGGATTCATAAGCACAGTCTTTAGAAGTTTCGGGTTCGAACACAACATTTGTAGAAATATTAAAATGTTTGTTGTCAAATTATTAAAAATTACTTGGCTTTTCCATGTGAAGACAGTGCATGGCGGCTCTGCCAATTGTCAATGAAGAGTGGAATCCTATGGCCGGCTCTGCCAATTTTGTTTTATAAACTCAAGTAAATTTGCATAATACACAGCCCTATCCTAAAAACTTTTACATATTTTGTTTCCAGATCGTCGTATTTATATGTATGGTATAATCTAAGTCAACCTTGTTCCATGCATTCTCATCTCAAATTATGAACTGTCATGTGAACACTAACATGTATTATGTAATAATACGATGTAACGTAAACAATAATCAACATTAACTTTAAATAAAATAATAATTTAAAATATAAAAGAAGTATAAATAAATTGAGTGAACATAAATAAAAATCAAACAACTTTTCAATTTCATTCTAGTTAATAATTTCCGGGGACATGATACAATATTAATTATTATTTGCGTCACATCCTAATATTTGTATAATAGACATCAATGTTTACATGGTAGCTAACAATTTTTTAAATGACTTCTTTAACAAGGGACATGATTAGCATATCGATACTTTGAGATGAAATTGAAACGTTCAAGAAATTGTGAATCAAATTATAATGAGAGTTATAGTTTGAGAATAAGATTAGAAATGAGAGTCAAAAATTTAAAAATAGGGTAAACTACCTATTTAGTCATCCACCTATCACTTCGTTTTTGTTTTGATCACCTAGTTATTATGTTTTTCCGAAACCATACATAATGTTACGTTTTGGTCACCTACCATTAAAAAATTAATGGTGATGCTAATTTGTCATCATAAGGTAATGTCATGTCAACATTGAAAAATAAACTAAAAAAAATATAATGTCAGCATCATGATTAATTTTTTAACGGCGAGTGACAAACCATTATGTTAGATATGCTTTTGAAAAAATTAATTGAATGGCTAAAATAAAAACTAAGTAATATGTGAGTGACTAAATTGATAGTTTACCCTTAGAAATATGTAGTATAATTAACTCAAAATTGAAAATCGAAGGACAGACAAGAATCAACTCTATTTCCAATGTTACACAAGAAAACTATAGATTAATCTTATGCAGAAGTTGGCTGAATAGAAGGGGCATTAACACCTTCTACTTTAATATAAAAATCATTCATTAGGTGTATGATGCAGACAAGTCAGACAGCAATGGATATTTAAGCTGTGGGCATCCATCTGGCAACACCAGTGGGGATCTTGACAAAAACATATTGGGATTTAATTGAAATTTTTTAAAATTTTGAAATTTAATGAGAATTTTCAAAAAGGAATTAGGAGTCTAACTAAAAGTTTCAAATTTTTTAGATTTAATAAGAATTTCAAAATTCTAGGGGAACCAATTAAAATATTCAAAAACCTTAGGATTTAAAAAAATTGGAGAGTCTAATTGAAAGTTTAAAAAATGTAAAGTAGCTAAAACAAATTTTCTTAATATGAGGGCCTTGTCGTTGTTACCATCGGCTTCTGCAACAACTCAATCATTCTTCTTTGGGAAATTCGTCTAGTCATATTAGACCTGAAGACGAGACATATGGTGGGTTATTTGGGTTTGATTAATGTTTAAATTAAATAAATTATATAATCGAGTTTGAGCTCGATTCAAAAATTTTATGAGTAGTTTAAAAATATAATATAATATTTTTTTATTTTTTAAATTAAATTAAACTAATAATAATATTAATATTTATAGGTTGTTTCTTTAAGAGAAATAGAATATAAGATTTTTATGCATATAATATTTTAATTCTAGTTTGAGTTTAAGATAGAACTGAGCTCAAGTTTGAGCTTTAATCAAATTAAATCCGAACATATTTTGAATTCGAGTTGAGTTTTAATTTTTAATTTTGAACTCGAATCGGGCTTAATAATTTTAAAATCACAAGCTTTCAAGTCTAGTGAGTTCAAATTTAAACTTTTCAAATCATGTAGAGATCAACAATATTCGAGTTTAAATGACTATTTTACGGCCCGAATTCATACAACAACAATATTGGGTTTTGATTTCTGGGGTAGAAGAAAAAGATATTGCAGACATTGGGCCATTTGATTATGTAAGTCAACGTCTTTAGTTTTAAACCCTAAAAACCTGTAAAATACAAACAAATGAGGAACGAGGCACACTGTTCGTATCTAATGTAATGTTAAACTGATTGAAATTCAACGCAGTCTATTTCACTTCATCCTCCCTATTCTCCATTCTTTTCCTCTGTTTCCCGACTCCACTCAGCAAAGATTAATCGATCTAGAGGGCCTGTTCGTAGTCTCAACGCCGTATTCCTCACTAGAATCACTGCCCTTTTTTTCAAAGATTATTATTGCTTGTTTCGTTTTTACGAATTGGGATTTTGTGTTGGTTTTTTGATAGATTCCGTCAGTTTCACGAGATGGCAACAGAGGGAGGCAAGAGCTTTGCAAGGAGAGACAAACTGCTTGAAATCGAGTCGAAGGTTAGAGTTTGGTGGGATGAGAAAGCTGTTTTCAGGGCAAAACCCGGCGAGAAACCGCCTCAACCAGGTGAAAAATTCTTTGGAAACTTTCCTTTTCCCTACATGAATGGTTTTTTGCATCTGGGTCATGCCTTTTCTATTTCGAAACTCGAGTTTGCTGTTGCATACCATAGATTAAGAGGTGCCAATGTGCTGTTGCCATTTGCTTTTCACTGTACGGGTATGTCGATCAAGGCTTCCGCCGATGAACTTGCTAGAGAAATCCAAAAATACGGCGATCCACCGGTTTTTCCTCACGAGGTCGTCGAAGAGGAACCTATTTCGAAAGAAGAATCTGACCCGAATGAAGGTGCCAATGGGGTGCCTGATAAGTTTAAAGGAAAAAATCTAAAGCAGCCTTAAGTCCAGTGGACTGATGTTTCAGTGGGAAATTATGAGGAGTTTTGGACTTTCGAATAGTGAGATATTGAAGTTTCAGAACCCGTATGAGTGGCTGAAATTCTTTCCGCCATTGGCTGTTGAAGACCTTAAGGCATTTGGCCTAGGATGTGATTGGAGAATGTCGTTTGTGACCACGGACATGAATCCGTTTTTCGATTCATTTGTTAAGTGGCAGATGCGTAAGTTGAAATCCATGGGTAAGAGATTTAAAGATATGAGGTATACTATATATTCTCCCTTGGACGGTCAGCCTTGTGCTGATCATGATAGGCAACTGGTGAAGGAGTTCAGCCTCAGGAGTATACTATTATTAAAATGGAAGTGGTGCCACCTTTTCCTGCTAAAACGGGTGTTCTTGAAGGGAAAAATGTGTTGTTGGCTGCTGCAGCATTGAGGCCTGAGACCATGTATGGGCAAACAAATTGCTGGGTATTGCCTGATGGGAAATATGGAGCCTTTGAAATCAATGACACTGAGGTATTTATTCTGACTGAGAGAGCAGCACTCAACCTTGCTTATCAGAACCTCTCCCGTGTCCCCGAAAAGCCTACATGCCTGGTTGAGCTGATTGGATATGATCTGATTGGTCTTGCTGTGAGGTCTCTGCACTCATTTAATGAGATCATATATGCTCTTCCAATGCTGACTATTTTAACAAACAAAGGTACCGGAATCGACACCAGTGTTCCTAGTGATGCTCCTGATGATTACATGGTCTTACATGATTTGAAAGCAAAACCTGCTTTTCGGGCCAAGTTTGGGGGTGAAAGATGAGTGGGTGTTGCCCTTTGAGATTGTTCCCATTATTGACATTCCCGAATTTGGCGACAGAGCTGCTGAAAAAGTTTGTCTGGATCTTAAAATTAAAAGTCAGAATGAGAAAGACAAGCTTGCCGAGGCAAAGAAGTTGGTGTACTTGAGAGGTTTTACTGAGGGAATCATGACTGTTGGAGAGTATGCTGGAAGAAAAGTCCAGGAAGTGAAGCCACTGATAAGGACCAAACTGATTGAGACGGGCTAGGCAATAATTTATAGTGATCCTGAGAAGAAGGTCATGTCAAGGTCTGGCGATGAATGTGTTGTGGCTCTAACTGATCAGTGGTATATCACATATGGGTAACCAGAATGGAAAAATTTGTCTGAGGAGTGCTTATCCAACATGAACCTATACTCTGATGAGACAAGGCATGGTTTTGAGCACACTAACAATTAGTCCACGGGAAGGCGTGTAAAATTTCTCATGTTGTTGCTTTGCCCTTTTTTTTAAAATCAACTAAACATGGTAAATATCAGATGATGGGGTTCTGAAAGCTCAATTTTGGGAGCTCAAAGCTTAAGCCAGGTCATGTAGGGATGGTTATGGGTTTTTGGTCGACTTGACTCGGGTTTAGGATGGTTTCACCTGAGTTGAAACTCGATCTGTCATTTGAGATAAAACTTGTACTCAACTCGACACAAGTGTGTATATATATATTAATTTTATTTGATAAAATAAAAATTTAATTGAAAAAAATAATACAGAGATGGTTATTATTATAATTATCTTTAAATATATAAAACCATAATTATATTATTTTTGGGTATAGTAAGGTTGAATAATTTTCTTGATCCAAACTTATAATCTAAAAAACTTCACAAATTTAAACCTAATTTTTCTTTTATAAAAAATTAGATCCTATTGGATCGGCTTTGGTTTGGGTCCCGTACCCATTCCTACGTACATCATTGGTATCTATCTTAGATATGATCAAAGTGAGAAATAGGGCACCAGTTAGTAATAAACTAATTTTATTTAACAATTATTAATTGTTCATGTGACCTAATTTGAATGAGGGTAATTATTTCATGGACTGATGATCGATTTTTATTGTTTTTTCCCTTAAGCATGGTTTTTAATATTATTATGTGTCCTAATTTGATAATTCTAAATCTTAAAGGTTTAATTATAAAATAAGTGTCTACACTATACTTTTTTCTCAAATAGGTCCCCAAACTTTTTCGATTCATTTAGGTGCCTAACATTATCACTTTAGGTGTCTCGGTCATAACATCCATTAAACTATTTCGTTAAATAACACGCGTCATGTTTTGGTAATTTTAAAAAATATATTTTAAATTAAAAAATTAAAATTATATTTAAAAACCCACAAAATTGGAAAAAAAATTAGAAAAGCATGAAAACTTTAAAAACCACAATTTCCCAACTCGAAAATTGACCCGACCCGATCTGAGTTATCGTACAACCGAACTAGATCTGAACCATATTCGATCCAATCCGAACAAAATTAAACCGAATTTAATATAGACACGAAATGAACTGATCCAAATGACCTGTTTGCCACCTCTAGATGAAGGGGTTGGGAAACTTTTTAGAAAAATATTTTTTAAATAATATTTTTTTATTTTTAATAATAAAAATTTCAAAAAATATGTGATATGTGTCACTTAACAGACCTTTTTAACGATGGTTACAGTCTGATACCTAAAGTAATAATGTTTGTATCTAGATGAATTGAAAAAAAAATTGGACACCTATTTAAAAAAAAGAGCTATAGTTTGGACATTTATTTTATAATTAAACCAATCTTAAATAGTACATATAGAATATTAAAATCTAGTTAGAAGTATTACGGTGGTAAATGAATTGTTATTATTCCTTAAGGTATTGGGTTAGAGCACCACCAATGTTAAGGGTATGAACGTTCAATGTCAAATGATTGAGAGTTATCTATGAACAGATACTATCTTGTACTTACCACATATTAATAAAAAAATCTTTTTATAAATTTTCTTTTACCTCATTGTATGAAAATTTTCCTTTTGAATAAAGATAAGAACATATAGATTTTGAACGAACCAATCTATCTTAGTGATTAAAGAAATGAATGTTATTCTTACAGATTCCAAGTTAGAGCACCAAAGATTATAGGATATTTGAGTATTCACAGTCAAATAGTTGAGAATCTTTAAAACATTTACTACCATTGTAAGCACCCTAAATTAATAATAAAAATAACATATTGTTTCTTTTTAAGAGTTTTATTTATTTATACTTGAATTTATCTTTTTAATTTCAAAATTAAATTTGCATTAATTATTATTAAAAATAATTTATTACTCAAATAAATGTATGGTATTTATGTTTTTGAAAAGTTTTGCATTTGTATTTTTGCATGGCTAATAACGAGGGATGTTCAAACGATCGATCAGCCACCAATTAAGACAAATTCTTTAAAATTGAATTAATTAAATTTTTTCTTCAATCATTAATCAAATTATTTTCTTTTAAATTATTAATCGAATTGAATATATTTAGTTAATTTGATCCGAATTTACCAAAATTTTCTATAAATTTTTAGTTAGATTAATTTGAGTTTAATGAAGGTGTTTCTTTTTTGTTCAAATTTAATTAAGTATTGGCAATTTAATAGATGTAGTGTGGTTAAAAAATAGTTGGGTCTTAATTCAAAATGAGTTTAAGCTTACAATATGTATTTAACATATATAATATAAGCAAAAAAGTACCTCAGACCCTTATACTTTTTTCCAAAAACATTTAACATATATAATATAAGCAAAAAGTACCTCAGACCCTCGTGTTTTTTTCAAAAAACTAATGTGATTCTCAAACTATTTTTGCATTCAATGCGTCCTTTAAAATTAAGAAAATAATCTAATGTGATACTTTGACCAACGATTTCCATCGTTAACAATTACGATGCTGGCGTGATATTTCACAGTGCTAATGTGGTGGTACGTGGTGGCGGGTGATGTGGCTGATGCGTAGCGAATGGGTTAAATTTATCGTTATGTTCGTACATGTCAATTCTAATGTGAGTTTTATCTCATTTGTATTTTGTGAAGATAAATTTGACATTCCTTATAAAAAAATATCGGGTGACAAAAAAAATCTAAACCGTGGAGTCCATATTCACATTAATTTTATAAACTTGCATCTAACATAAATTGGTGGGTAGGTCGATTTTCCTATTTTTTTAAGATTACGTTTAGGTGAAGTTTACTTACTTCTATCATGTTATGTTCATTAAAATACTCATCTTAATTGTATAAATATTTTTACTTATTTTTAATCAGAGGTAAATATATGAAATAAGATTTATGCAGGATGAACGAGTTTAAATTTATATAAATAAAATTCATGTTAAATTTGAGGTATAATACTAATATATATATAATTTTAATAATTTAATTTTTATTTTTTGGTATTTTTATACTTATTTTTTTTAATACTTTTATATTTTAAATTTAAATTTTTTTTATTTTTTTTATAAAAAACCAAATAATCTCGTGAACTTTCAAAAACAATTAATTGACATTCGAATTCAACAAAAAAAAACTAATTTAATCCATAAACCACTCATCAGCCACTGTAGACTACCACGTTAGCGTTATGATGTTTTACGTCAGCAGCGTAACGATCAACAACGGAAATCATTGGTTAAAGGGTCACATTAAATGTTTTTCTAAGTTTGAGGGTCACATTGAGTGCAAAAATAGTTCGAATGTAACCTTGATTTTTTTGGTGAAATATAAAGGCCTTACGTATCTTTTTGCCTATAATATATTAAATATTTAATTCTTTTAGTTAATTAATTGATTTTAAACCGAATTAATTATTAACAGAATATTAAGGGGTTGTTTGTTTACTTCAGAATGATTAAACGTTGAATGATTCAAATGCTGAATGATTCAGAGGCTCTGTATGAATTAACTCTGAATGTGACATGCTATTTGATAATGGCTTTGAATCATTTAGAATGTACTTTGATGCTGAATCGTTCAGCACTGTTTTACTGAATCAGTCAGCACTGAATCATTCAGATGTACGACCTAAAAAATTCAATATTTGAGTTGCTTTCAGTGGCCTGACCATTTAATTGAACTAATTCTATTAATAATGGTGATAAGGAGCATGAATTACGACGCACATACGTAAAAAACATTATTAATTAGTCTTACAAGATAATTTCATTTTTCTTATAAAAAATAGATCACACAATGAATATACTTTAGTAAAATAAAATATACATTTAGGTGTGTTTGGTTGGGGGAATGTAGGATTTTCATGGAATGGAATCCACACTCTCCCGTTTGGTTGGTCGAGAATGTCATTCCTGATAATGTTTTATTACCAATAGTAAATTTTTTGAAGTATATTACCGGGAATGTCATTACCCCTTCCCTTAGGTATTGTTGGATTACCGACGTTTTGGACTAAAATGCCCTTAAATTTTTTTTCTTTAAAAAATATTTTTATTCTGTCATTAAATAATAAAAATTAATTAAATAATAAAAATTATACGAAGGTTAACTTACAAATTTATACTTAAACTATTTTAGATTTACAAAAAAATCTATAATTAAAATTTTATATAAAATTCAGGAGTTAAAATAAAATTTTACCATTTCATTAAATCTTTTTATATTTTCAATTTTATAAAAAAATTATAATATATTTTATGAATTTAAATTTTTTTTAAAAAATATATAAATATTTTCTAATTTGTTAAAAAAAATAAATATATATAATAAAGATAATTTGGTCAAATATACATTCTAATAATATTTTATTTCTTTAACCAAACATGATAATCTTACATTCATGCTTAACCAACCAAACACAAAATACGACATTCTCATTAATTCTATTCCTTGATAATTTTTAATCTTACATTCCGTGAACCAACTCCAAAAAGTAAAAGAGCACATTGACCGTTAAAAACTCCCCATTTTCTTGCCATAACCATCGGATCCTTTGTGTTTACCACTTTAAATGTTTCCCGCAAACTGTTCCATACCAATCACACCTTCTCATTATTTTCAGTTTGGTGTCAAAGAAAAATGCTCGTTTTCCTTACCATTTACTGGATTCCAGAGTCTGTTTTGATCATCCCGGTAAGATTTATGCTCGATCCTGTTTATTTTTTGCTATCGACATTGATTGATTTTCTTTTTTCAAATTCTTTTAGTGACCATGGATAAGAGGAGGTTACAAACTGAGAGAAGACACGGCACCTCGGCGGCTCCAGGGGTGCCGTCATCACCATTGACATCGGCATCCCCGCTGCAGCGCCACACACGGTCTGGATCAAGCTATGGAGGCGCTGGGAATCCGAGGAAAGCGCAAACGAAAGCCGCAGCGCAGAGGCTGGCGGCCGTTATGTCAAATAAGCAGGACGATGATGATGGTGATGATGATTATGACCAGCTTGATAATAGTAGTGTTGGAAGGCCAACGCGCCCTCCCTCTCCTATGGTAATGTGTTGTTACATGGATATCTGATTCGAGTATGTGTGTGAAGTTGACATTTTTTTCACACTATTTTTGAAATTAAATTTTCATATCAGTATGAATGATGAAGTGTTCAAGAAGTATCAGATAAAATACTATTAGGCTATGCTAGGACTTGACATTTGGAAATAAGTAGTTCTTATTTCCTACCAGCTGGGTTTTTTAACTTGTAATTTGCAGGCTTAAAGTCGAGTTCCGCAATCAACACAAGCTGATGACGACAATGATGAGGATGATCCTATAGTGAGTGGCCAAGTATAGGACTTGCTGGTGGAAGACCAATGCAGGGGCGGTCTCCTATGGTAATCATATTGAAATCTTTTAATTCGAATTTCATTCCTTCGAGTAGACCTATTATATGTTTGTTAAAATGACACTTCCATTACTTTGATGATGACTCTTCAAGTATTCTGAAATTCTTTTGTTGCTCACATATGCTAGAGTTATGACAAGTTACGACATTACTAGTATGTATGTTCTCACCTGGGCTTGCATTTTAATATCCAGGCCAAAAATATTCCTCAAAGGAGACCATCACCATTAAGGAAACAACAACCATATGATGATGACAATGATGAGGATGCCCCAGTCAGTAACACAACAAGCATAGGTCTCACTGCAACGGCAAAGAGGTCACCCTCTCCTGCGGTAATCATCTGATATGAATTTGATTTTAGCTAAGACCGGCTGCTTGCGTTTGTCAAGTGAGATGCACAAACTTCTTGATGTAGTTCAACACATTCCATTTGACAAGTTAAAATAACACCTTTCGTTTTTCTTAAAATTACCACCATTAACAGTTTTATCAATTTATAACGCATGGTAATGTTTTTCAAACAAGTAACTGGTCTGAAATTTGTTCATGGTAGCATGTAGCTGGTTTCACATTGCATGTAAGTATGTTATTTCCTCGACTTAACTTGTAATATCCAGAGAAAAAGCTTAGCTCGAACTCGAATACCACCAGCAGCAGCTGATGATGAGATTGACGAAGATGACCTTTTAGTGAGTAGCACAACAAGAATAGGGCTTGGTGGAAGGGCAGCACGGCCTTTCTCTCCAATGGTAACTTTGTGACCTGATTTACTTATTAGACATGTGTTTGTCAAATGAGCCTCAGAGAAAGAAAATGAATGCAATTAGAGAAGTAATATTGTTAAGCTTAAGCTAATAATTGAGTGATCTGTTCGTCTTTGAAATCAGTAGTTGGTTCTTTAAGGACATTGGGGATACTCCATAATGTTTTGCTACTGAATAAAAAAAGAGTAGTTATTAACATTGTTTGGTGAACATATTGGTCCTATGTGCAAAATTTAACTTCATTTAATTTGCTTATCAGTGCTAATTTGGCAATAGTCACATGTTTAGAGAAGATAGTTTAATTAGTGAGTTGCAAAGGAATTTTCTGAATGGGGAATTTCGTAGATTTCTGGTTTCAAGTAACCTTACTGACTTGCTTATCACATGCAAAGGTCTGATACTACCAACAAATATGTTCTCAGTTGACTTACAGTGTATAATTTTGCAGGCTAAAAACATATATCAGAAGCGGATGCCACAAGCTACTGACAAGGAAAGTGATGAGGAAGACTTTTTGGTTAGTGGCAAAGCAAGCATCGGTCTTGCTCGTGGTAGAGGAATGCAGCCGCGCCCTTCTGTGGTAATTATGTGATTTCCTGTTATGAATCTGTTAGCTAATTTCTTGTTTGTCATGCTAATGTGAGAGAAGAACTACTTATGATGCGAGAGTAAGGTAACAACCTTACAGTTTTGAATGCAGGAGTTTTATGGTACCGATAAATGAATTTTTACATAGGCTTCCATTTGAAAACTCAGGGCAGACCCATGGCTCAAAGGCCTGTGCAACAGGAAGGACCACAGCCAAGTGATGAGGACAATGATGAGGATGACCTTTCTAACAGTTCAATGAGTGGCAAACCAACCATTGGGCTTGGTGGAAGAGCTAAGCCTTCATCATCTCCTTTGGTAATTTGTCTATTAACTAAGTTTGCTCAGTTGTCTAAATTGTTTGTTTGTTTAATGCTTATATGTCTGATTAATGTAATTCTTACTTGTAACTTCAAATTTGCTTTCAGTCAGTTCGTGTCAATCAAGACCAACAGCGTCCCACACCAGCGCATGCAAGTGGTCAAAACTCCATGGAGCAATCCACGTCACCTTCAGCTGGAAGATCATCTCTGCAAAGTTCTGTAGCTTTAAGTGTTGGCCGGTCATCGGCATTAACCAGTTCATCGGAACAATCTGTAACTCCTCATTCCACTAGTCCAGGTCGCCAACAGTTAGGAGTCAGGTCGTTTCCTGCGGAGAAGCGGTATTTTTATAGCTCTAAGCTGGACTAGAATGGCGATTGCACTGGTTTAGTTTCTTAATTTATTTTATCTCTAGTGTTCTAAACTTTACTGATTAAGCAGATTGGATTCAAATTTTCGGAGTATGAACAACATGAAAGTTAGTGGAACGCAACAGTCCGCTTCTGCTCTACAAAATGAGGTAAAATCATTAGTTAACCTATATACCGTGTTCCCTTCTAGGATCCATCAACTGTTTCGCTTAGTTTTTCATTTCTAATAAATCATTTGAAACCTAGTGTATACCTCACAATATTTTCTTTTTCAAAAATCTGTATGATATTTTTCAATTCTGAACACTTCAAATTTCTGTCTGTGTTCTATCACCAATATGAAAAATCAGTCTAAGTGATCAAACAATGAAGACCTTTAGGAAAACTATTACTTTTTTTAACAATGTGTTGTGAATATCATGGCAGCTTGATGTGCTACTGGTTGCAAATGAAAGTTTACTTCAAAAGGTGATTCCAGTAACTCTTTTTCTTCATTATCATGCAATTTTTTCCGTTGTTGAATGTAATGAGATCTTATGATAAGTTGTATTTAAAAGTTGATACTGTACTCGTGCACATCAATTTGGCTCTCCATCATATTCAAGCACTGAGCCAATATTCTAAGGTTGTTGCAACAGTTGTCTTCAAATAAACGTCATAACTCATAATCTATCTGAGCACTGGCATTTGGATATTGCTGTTGCAGCACCATCTCCCAACCCCCGCCACCCCCCAAAAAAAAAAAACTCTGATATCTTTAGGCTAGCCAAACAAGCGCTTTGGCTTATGGAAAATTTAATAATAGTCATGCACTATTTGTTTGGTTCTCCATCATGATATTTGCCTTCCCAGCTTCACCTTGCAGAGGAGAGGTGTGAAGAAGCAGAAGCAAGAGCTCAGCTGCTTGAGAAGCAGGTGAAGGAAGTAGCCCAGGTAGAGGAGGTTTGTTCTTCTATTGAGTGCCACTAGGAAGGATAGAGAGGCTTATTAACATATAAAATTGGCATGTGCATGAAATCTTGATTATAAATCTTAAAACGAGAACCTGATATGCAAAAATAAATGCCAAGGAAAGATTCGCAGAAGTCATGCTTTATTCATTCTTAAGCATCTTCAAAAGTTTCATAGGTTTTGTAAACCTACCTAGTCATGCTTTATTGCTTATAACTTGCCTCATTTCACCCAAAAAAAACTAATGAGCTGATTTCATTGCTTTACTTTTACATGGTTTTTGAACTGCAGCTGAGTAGCATGTGACATGGTCCTTCTTGCAGGCTGCTTCAAAAGGTGAAACACAAACTCAGTTCATTGCTGCTCTTCATATAGAATACCGTGTTCTATAACAACAAAACCAGATTTTATTGAGCAAATTTTATTGCTATAAAATATAGAGAAAATCGCTATAAAATATAGAGAAAAAAGATCAATTGATTAAATGAAGTAATTGCATTTTAAAAAATAAGATAAAATAAGATAAAAAAACAGATAAGATAAAATAACATATAACATATAAAAATAGAAAATATTATTAATAAATAAAGAATAAATTAAATAATTAATAAAATATTATTAATAAATAAAGAATAAATAATTAATACAAAAGAATTAACTTAATTCTTTATTTTTCATTGTATTTTTTATAGTCTTTTTTATATTCTTTATTCTTTTCTCAACTTTCAACATTTCTATTCAAAATTTACAATCATATTGACAACAGTGTATCGAACAAATATAATTCGATCATAGATAAATAGATCAATTTATCCCCCGCCCACAAGTTTGGCACTTCAATTCATTGAAATAATGGGCTCTTTCTATAGAATTTGTTGTGATACAATCAGGTTTTTTTTTATTGTATTGAAAAAAAATATTTATTGTATTGAAAAAAAAATAGATAACAATGGAATGAATAAGACCTTTAGGAAAACTATTACTTTTTTTAACAATGTGTTGTGAATATCATGGCAGCTTGATGTGCTACTGGTTGCAAATGAAAGTTTACTTCAAAAGGTGATTCCAGTAACTCTTTTTCTTCATTATCATGCAATTTTTATTGAAGCTCAAAGAAATATTACAAGAACACTCTCACTCAAAAACAAGAACTACAACTCACTCTTATAAGACTTTGCTTCTTCACTCACTTAGAAGCTATTGATTTTTCTTTATGCTTAAAACTAAAATGGGAAGGGGTATTTATACTACTCAAGAACAATCCTACACCACACAAATAAACTAATTTAAACCATTACAAATTCAACAAATATCTAACTCTCACCTAACTAAATTGATGTAAGCAATGACATCATTAATTAAATGATGTAAGCAATGACATCTTTAATTAAATGATGTAAGTAATGACATCAATTTAGTTTGGGTTTGGATTTAGGCTCTCATAATGGATCAAGTTTATGATCCAACACCCTCCCTTAAACTTGATCTCGTGACCCCTAGTAGGTTCCTTAATCTTAAGAAGTCTTCGTTGGTCAGTGGCTTGGTAAAAATATCAGCAACTTGATCTTGTGACTTCACATATTCAACTTCCACATCTTTTCTTGCAACACACTCCCTTATATAGTGGTAGCGAATATCAATGTGCTTGCTTCGATCATGGAATACTGGATTCTTCGCTAAGGCAATGGCTGACTTGTTGTCGACACAAACCTTGGTAGGCTCTTCTTGTATCAAACCAATCTCCTTCAATAGATTTCTAAGCCAAATTGCATGACAAACACATGAGGTAGCAGCAACATATTCCGCTTCACAAGTGGACAATGTGACAATCAGTTGTTTCTTTGACATCCATGTGAATGCAATATCTCCCATGAAAAATACGAATCCAGTAGTGCTCCTTCGATTATCTATGTCTCCACCCCAATCACTGTCGCTATATCCAACAAGCTTGTAATCATTAGAAACTGAATAGAACAAGCCAAAGTCAATTGTACCTTTCAGATAGCGAAGAATTCTCTTTGCAGCTTTAAAATGGGTGGTTGTTGGGGATTCCATGTAGCGACTAACCAATCCAACTGCGTGAAGAATATCGGGTCTCGTGCAAGTTAGATAGCGTAGACTTCCTACCAAACTTTTGAAGAATGTTGGATCTACACTTTCGCCTTCTTCATGTTTGGTCATCTTGATCCCGTATTCTGCCGGTGTGCTTATTGGCTTACAGTTCTCCATCTTGAACTTCTTCAGTATCTCCTTTGCATAGCTTTCCTGTGAAATGAAAATTCCATCATTTTGTTGCTTAACTTCAATGCCAAGGTAGTACGCCATGAGCCCCATGTCTGTCATCTCGAATTCTTTCATCATCACATCCTTGAATTCATTAAACATGCTTGGGTTGCTTCCAGTGAAGATCAAATCGTCCACGTAGAGGCACACGATCAAAATATCTTCATCTTTGATCTTGATATATAGAGCATGCTCGTAGGGACATTTGTTGAAGCCATTCTCTTGGAAGTACTTGTCGATTCGGCTATTCCATGCCCTTGGTGCTTGTTTTAGCCCGTAAAGAGCCTTCTTCAACTTCAACACCTTGTCTTCATGCCCTTTGACTTCATAGCCTGATGGTTGCTGAATGTAAAGTTCCTCTTCAAGAACTCCATTTAGGAAGGCGGACTTTACATCCATCTGTTGTATCTTCCACTTGTTTTGAGCTGCCAAAGAAATGATTAGTCTGATAGTCTCCAATCGAGCAACAGGAGCAAATACC